TCGTGTCATTCAATTTAGCTTTCGCGAGAGGCTCCGTGTATATCTTTTTCAATTACCGATGCGAGTTCTCGCCAACTTTGCACTATTAGGCAATTTGTTTGGACAACATATTTTATTCTTCGTTTTGGAAATTGCAAAAATTGCAGTGGGGACAGCAGGAACGCCTGCAAGAAAACCTTCAACAAATAAAGATAGTGGTACGGTAAGATTTCGAATTTTGAGACAGTATTAAGACAAACTACAGGAGCCACAATAATGCCAACGTATCAACTGCTATTGTTCCTTTTAATTCGACCATCATCATCAGTCTCATGGCATGGTATGGTCATAGGATCGGTGCGCAGTTGACTGCTTGATCAGTTCCGTCCACATAACTAAGTTGAAAGCTGGAAAAGTTGTCCTTTGTGTGTAGCGTTTTTTACGGCAAGTATACCTGACGGTGCCCATCCCTCCCAAGCTCAAAGAGACTTCGAATATGCAGGATTGCCTTGGTTACGAGCATGTCGCCGTTAATTTCCTTAGAGCAAATCTCAGCACGATTGTTATGCATTTTTCTCGCACATACCCACACGCGTGTTCATATATATATATATATATATATATATATATATATATATATATATATATATATATATATATATATATAATAAAAACTTTAAACACTAATATTCCAGGGTCATAATTTATTCCATTGGAATCGTAAATACGATCCAATTCATCAGACATACAAATTCAAACAGAAAAAAACAACTCCGGAAATAAAAACAGAATTTAGAGAGAGAGTGTATGAGGAGAAGGGAGATTAAACCTTAACAGAGAGAATTTTAGGAGAGGTGGGTGGAAGGGGTTTAAGTAAGAGAAAAATTAATGTTGTCGGATGTCTAATGCATAAAGGTACATTTCGTGGTGACATACACACACCATAGACAATCTAATGTTAGAATAAGAGGGAGGGAAAGACGAGGTGGGGGAGAGAGATGGGACGAAGGATAGTAAAATTGCGTTTACTTAAAGGGCCGCTTTGTAATTGAGAAAATTTGACAAATTTAATATCGACTACAGGTTACAAATCAAATATAAACATATAAAAAATAAATATAACGATTATCTAATCCAGCAAGGATGTATATTTCTATGTTCAAAAACACATGCGAATACACACATACACAATATTGTATCCTAATACAAATATATATAACTATAATTCGAATACAAATATACACGTCTAACATGTAGTTTTAAATATAATACATCTGTACATACAGATATGACTATATATATATATATATATATATGTGTGTGTGTGTGTGTGTGTGTGTGTGTGTGTGTGAAAATATATAGAAAATAGGAAGGAACTTGTTAGGTAAATAATCCAAAGTTCCTTAGTATTTTAGTTATTATTTTTTAAAAATAGTGCTCGATACAAAAGTAGAGCATAAATATAATTATTTATTTAAAAATATGATTCCAACTCTCGACATAAATTAAATTGAGTTAAAGTAAGCTCTGTTCCATCTCCAAAAATTTCGCTTGAAGATGGAACAGAGCTTACTTTTAACTCAATTTAATTCAAATAATTATATTGAAGTTTTCGGCTCTTGTTTTGAAACATGAGACCTCTTATGTCGCGAGTTGGAATCATATTAAAAATTATATATATATATATATATATATATATATATATATATATATATATGATATTCGGAGGATTTGAGATAATTATAATTAAGGCCCGTTGATACAGTGGGTATGACGTTTGTCTCATATCGTAATGGCCTGAGTTTCAATTCTTGGTTGTGGATGCGCACAGATGATGATTCCAAATATAGGACGAAACGGCCGTCCAGTGGATTCTGTTGAGTTTTTTTTCTAGACTCGATGAATTACTTAAATATGATAGGAACCATATTTTTAGATCAGTTAATTTATAAAATGTATGCCCTGTAAATTTACATTGAGCACTATTTTGTAAGAATAAAATATCAATAAGAACACCGGATTGTATATCTTATTGTGCTTTTTTTTTTTTAGTATAATATATATATATATATATATATATATATATATATATATATATATATATATATATATATATTTGTGTGTGTGTGTGTGTGTGTGTCTGTGTGTGTGTGTGTGTGTGTGGCTATCCTGGCCTGACGATTGCATCTAGTATGAAACAGAGGGGTGATGGGAATTTTAGTTTTTTTTTTTTTATCTTGCCGAATTCATTTAGAGTCTGTTTCTTTTCATTTCCATCACTTTTGTAAGTAGTTATTTCACACTGGGATACTACAAGATCTGCTAGGAATTGTGAAATATTGTAAGAGCCTGGGTGCAAATTTATTGTAGACTAGCAGCACGGCCCGGTGTTGCCCGTGCTTGATTTAAAAATCGTACGACTCATACAGCAATCGCTATTACTTGACTTAAAATATTTTTGCCCTTTCTTGCCTTTAAAGGAGTGACCTTTGTCGTGCTGATGTTGCTACATGCCTTACTTCTTGCCTATCTCACACTGCGAATTTTTTCTAAACTTTATACTAAACATTAAATCTGTTACGAAAAAAAGAACTAAACAAAATGAACACAAAACGATCAGCTTTAAAAAAAGGACTCGTAACTGGAAAAACCGAATGAAAAAAGAATCTCAACAACAAATACTTTTTCACACTTAACCCAGTTCTGTGGAATCAGAATCAACATTGTGTTTAAGCAAGCGAATGAGCCAATTGGAGTAAAGTGCAATGCAGATTTAAATTTTCCCCACTTGTGACGAATGGAGGTATCGATTATATATATATATATATATATATATATATATATATATATTTGCCTGCTAGCATGCTAGTTAACATTCGTGTCAGTCAGCTGTTGGCTCTCACGCTGACCAATAGAATCTTCCTGCCTATTCGTGGCAGCCAGCTATAGGCTCTCACTCTGGCTAGTAGAAAATGCCGCAAACTACATGAAAACTGCCGTAGAAGCATGAAAAAATTGATTATTGCCACTATCGATGGGAGTTGGGAAATGCAAAGTCGGTCTTGGCCTTCCGGGTAACTTGGAGCATGTGCATGTAAATTTTGGTGCAAAACCGTCGAAAATTGCGGCCGTGAATTCGTTACAGATAAAGAATACCATGCGATTAAGACATTCTCTAGACATTTACGTCGTAATTATTTCTTTTTTTCCTTTATGCAGAATAGATTTTTTAAAAATTTTTATGTCAAAATTGTGGTCAGTTTCGTTACGGGGGCCAACCAAAGCATTTGATATATTATTTTCCACGGCATACAGCAATAAACGACGTCATCATTACCATTTTCCCTTTTAAAATGGTGAAGTCGTTGATTTGGGATGCGACCTGTGCGGATACATTTTCGGTCGGTAATTTGATCAGGTCTGTGGTTGAGCCGGAATCCATACCCCGGGACGCAAAGATGAAAAAAAAAAAATAGTTAAATATTCTTCTCTTGCTAATAGTTTTTTTTTTTTACTCCTGTGGCAGTGGAGACTTCAGGGGTTATTGGCCCTCGTTCGATGACGTTCCTTCGGAGAATTGGCGGGATGGCGTCTCGATTAAGGGACGAGCTTCGTGAAACGGAGTCTCACTGGCCAGGGTTCGAGGTAATGCTTTCTCCATCATTGCGGCTGGCAGAGGAAATTGTTTATAGTTACGTTGTTCTGGAATTGTCATCAATGGTCAACTGAACTTGCTTTGTTTCAATAAATTTGCTATGCAGAGTCTTGTAAAATATTCATTTTGTGTTCATATAATCTTTTCTTTAGACTCCTTGAGTTTTCTCATATGTATTTTTTCTGACAATTATTACAGGCGATGAAGCGAATTCCTCTTTAGCTTTTAGCATCCCTAATTATTTTATATTCAAGTCGAAACAAAAGGCCCATAAAATATTCCAAAACAAAAAAAAAACGGCCCCTCATGGGAAACACAATCAATTAATATATATATTATACTGCCTGCTTCTATCTCATCTACAATCGAAAATAATCTATTTAAACTCAACATAAAACTTGTTACTACTGCATCCAAAACAATAAAAGACTTAGTCAATAGTAAACAAAACAATAAGTTATGATTCACGTCATTTTAAATATATCCATCCTATATAAAAGTAACAAAATTATATACATCCATACAAAATACATTTTGGTAAAACGTATAAGCATACACACATGCAAATAGGAATATACTTATACGAGAAAATATACAATGATACATCTAAATCTGAACGTAAAGAAAAAGTAAGGAAATAAATTTAGATATATATTAAAATGTGAATATATATGTCTGTATCTATGTATAAATAAATTACTGACATTTATTTATAATTCAACATGGCTTCTTATTACATTAAACTTGAAAATTGGGAAATAACAAATATGAATAAAGAAATTGTGTGCTCCAGTTTGTGGATAAATTTCACGAGAATAAATACCATACGTAACTAAGAAAAAAAAATTTCTATCATTTTTCTCTTTTGTTACCTCAATTAAATTCTTCGAATTTTTTATATCACGCGTTGAAATTTTCAGTGGCACCTTTTCTTTGTAATATCTGCTTCCTAATCTCGTAAAATCTCGCGCCATAAATCTCGCGTTTCGCTCTCTCCCTCTTTCTCTCTCTTTCTCTCTCTCACTCTCACTCTCTCTATACCCATAACACCTAACAGAATGCACAATGCTGAGATCATCTAAACTGCACAAAACATTTATAACAATGAACATCTCGTCAATATAAAATTCGGCAAGGATGGATTTTAATATAGAAATTTGCCAATCCAATTCGTTAAAAGTTTTTTTTTCGGGGTATGGGGGGGTGGATTTAGCAACATAAAATTCTGTAAGCGTGAATTCGTTGAAAAGCAATTCTCTTTGGAAACAAAGCAAATTGGAAGGCTTAAATTTACACTAAAATTTCACACGTGAAACAGAAAAAGATAGATGGGGAAAGGGAGACGTTGATACAGAGATTAATATACAATATATACGAAAAGAGAGAGAGAGAGAACAAATATTAAAAGCGTGAGATATAAACAGGCTGACTGATATGAACAGACCGGAATAGATAGATAGATAGATAGATAGATAGATAGATAGATAGATAGATAGATAGATAGATAGATAGAAAATGCGTGATATACAGACATAGAGAAAGGGCCGTATGAGTTAAATATTAATTAGATAGCCAGAAAGGAAACTTTGAAAAACAGACAGATCAATCAATAGATAGATAGATAGATAGATAGAAAATGTGCGATAAGCAGATATTGATGCAGACCGTGTTAGTTAAATATTAGATAGACAGAAAAGAAACATTGTAAAACAGACAGATCAATCAATAGATAGATAGATAGATAGATAGATAGATAGATAGATAGATAGATAAAAATTTAAATTAGAACAACTTTAATTAAATAACATTATTTTATTGATTTCAAGAATTTCAATTCTACTAGTTTACAGTGTGCGATGGGTAAATTGTCGCTGTATTTGATTTTTGATTTCACGCAGGCGTTTTGTTTATTTTTGATATTGTCAACTGCACAATCAAGCACCGTCTGTGAGAATAAGTGCACCATGACGCAATTCACTCCACCCGAAATTTAGAAACGGTATGCTGTATTGCTTGTAATTTTCGCCTAAAACTACAATACAAACAATTCAGAGTATTTGGATGTCAGTCTGAGTACAGTGCATAGGATTGGGAAAGAGTTGGCTGAGTCTAATGGTGATTACAAAGGTATTTGGAGTGATCACTTGTGTTGAAGACGTTATGCATCCATTCGTCTACCCACAGTTTCTCAGACTCAGGTCCACATCAAGTGCATTGTAGAGGAAGCGATGCGCTAGGTAAAGAGGGTGGCTGCTGGAAGACCTTATGTCTAGCAACAGGACTCTGCACTATGCCACACAATCAGAAGAACCCAGTCATGGATGTCAGACAATTTCTGAGACTAAATCCCCCCCTTTAAATCTGGCTACCTAACTCCTCAGGCTGCAACTCCCTTGATTATCAGGCGTGAGGCGCAGTTGAGCAAGAGAGTAACACAATTCTTTTTAACACCAAACATGAACTGAAGGCAAGGACTATGGCAGCATCCAGCAACTTAAACAAAGAGGCCGTCCAGAAGAGTTGCAGGGGATTCCGAAATCGTCTAGAGGCCGTGTTTGAAACCAATGGCGATTGTATTGAATAAATTAAATACTCTATATCATTTCATGATATTGTTGAGAAATTTTGGTAAATATCTCTGTTAAAATGAGATGCCGGTGTCTATTTTACTTTTTGCGTAATTTAGACGACAATTTATCCATCGCACCCTCATTTACATTGAAATGTCTTTCTTTTGAATTCAGGTATAAGAAAAAAAAAGAAAAAAAAACATTAGACAACTTGATTACCCAATCACGGGTAAAGTTTAAACTACCGCCATTTTCATCAACTACCTTTCCTTTGGGGTTAACTGTCTCTCTATCTGTTATACCAGAACATTACCTATTCTATTGTAATAGACTCTCCCACAGATAATAAGTAGTAGTAGCAGTGGCCAGTTGGGCCCAGTGGCGTCCCGCGGTCTTTGACTGCGCACGCCTCCTGTCGAACTTCTGCATTAGCAGAGAGGAACCCGGACGAAGCTTTGCCGAAGGGCAAAGTTTCGTCTGGGGAGGTGGACAGGGCCTGAACCCGTTTAATCGGCTTCAAAAGCTATATATTTTGGCCGAGGCGGGCTCGGGAAAACCCACATAAAAAACCGGCCTTTGTGCCATATTCTTTTCCGTGGGTGAGAAGATGCGCAGTGGCGTCCCGCGGTCTTTGACTGCACACGCCTCCTGTCGACCTCTCTGCGTTAGCAGAGAGGAACCCGGACGAAGCTTTGCCGAAGGGCAAGGTATCGTCCGGGAGGTGGACAGGGCCTGAACCCGTTTAATCGGCTTCAAAAGGCTATATTTTGGCCGAGCCTACGGGCTCGGGAAACCTACATAAAACCGGCCTTGTGCCATATTCTTTTCCGTGGGTGAGAAGATAAATACCAGTGGCGTCCCGCGGTTTTGACTGCACACGCCTCCTGTCGACCCTCTCGCTTTGCCGAAGGGCAAGGTTTCGTCCGGGGAGGTGGACAGGGCCTGAACCCGTTTAATCGGCTTCAAAAGGCTATATTTTTGGCCGAGCCACGGGCTCGGGAAAACCCACATAAAAACCGGCCTTTGTGCCATATTCTTTTCCGTGGGTGAGAAGATAAATACTCAGTGGCGTCCCGCGGTTTTTGACTGCACACGCCTCCTGTCGACCTCTCTGCGTTAGCAGAGAGGAACCCGGACGAAGCTTTGTCGAAGGGCAAGGTTTCGTCCGGGAGGTGGACAGGGAACCCGTTTAATCGGCTTCAAAAGGCTATATTTTTTGGCCTGGGGAAAACCCACATAAAAAACCGGCCTTGTGCCATATTCTTTTCCGTGGGTGAGAAGATAATACCAGTGGCGTCTCGGGTTTTTGACTGCGCACGGTCGAACTCTCTGTGACGAAAGGGCAAGGTTTCGTCCGGGAGGTAGATAGGGCCTGAAACCCGTCTAATCGGCGTGGCCGAGCCTACGGGCTCGGGGATACCCACATTAAAACCGGCCTTTGTGCCATATTCGGTCCTCGTGGGTGGAACGATAACACAGTGGCGTCTCGCGGTCTTTTGACTGCGCACACCTTTCTGTCGAACTCTCTGCGTTAGCAGAGAGGATCCCTGACGAGGCTTTGCCGAAGGCAAGGTTTCGTCCGGGAGGTAGATAGGCCTGAACCCGTCTAATCGGCTTCAAAAGGTTATTTTTTGGCCGAGCCTACGGGCTCGGGGATACCCCATTAAAACCGGCCTTGTGCCATATTCGGTCCTCGTGGGTGGAACGATAAATACTCAGTGGCGTCTCGCGGTCTTTGACTGCGCACACCTTGTCGAACCCGTTAAGAGAGGATCCCGGACGAGGCTTTGCCGAAGGGCAAGGTTTCGTCCGGGAGGTAGATAGGGCCTGAACCCGTCTAATCGGCAAAGGCAAATTTTTTGGCCGAGCCTACGGGCAGGGAAAACCCACATAAAAACCGGCCTTGTGCCATATTCTTTTCCGTGGGTGAGAAGATAAATACCAGTGGCGTCTCGCGGTCTTTGACTGCGCACACCTTTTCTGTCGAACTCTGCGTTAGCAGAGGATCCCGGACGAGGCTTTGCCGAAGGGCAAGGTTTCGTCCGGGGAGGTAGAAGGGCCTGAACCCGTCTAATCGGCTTCAAAGGCTTTTTTTGGCCGAGCCTACGGCTCAGGGGATACCCACATAAAACCGGCCTTGTGCCATATTCTTTTCCGTGGGTGAGAAGATAAACACCAGTGGCGTCCCGCGGTCTTTGACTGCACACGCCTCCTGTCGACCCCTCTGCGTAAAGAGGAACCCGGACGAAGCTTTGCCGAAGGGCAAGGTTTCGTCCGGGAGGTGGACAGGGCCTGAACCCGTTTAATCGGCTTCAAAGGGCTATTTTTGGCCGAGCCTACGGGCTCGGGAAACCCACATAAAAAAACCGGCCTTGTGCCATATTCTTTCCGTGGGTGAGAAGATAAATACCAGTGGCGTCTCGCGGTCTTTGACTGCGCACGCCTCCTGTCGAACTCTCTGCATTAGCAGAGAGGAACCTGACGAGGCTTTGCCGAAGGGGCGGTTTCGTCCGGGAGGTAGACAGGGCCTGAACCCGTCTAATCGGCTTCAAAGGCTATTTTTTTGGCCGAGCCTACGGGCTCGGGGATACCCACATTAAAACCGGCCTTGTGCCATATTCGGTCCTCGTGGGTGGAACGATAAATACTCAGTGGCGTCTCGCGGTCTTTGACTGCGCACACCTTCTGTCGAACTCTCTGCGTTAGCAGAGAGGATCCCGGACGAGGCTTTGCCGAAGGGCAAGGTTTCGTCCGGGGAGGTAGACAGGGCCTGAACCCGTCTAATCGGCTTCAAAAGGCTATTTTTTTGGCCGAGCCTACGGGCTCGGGGATATAAATTAAAACCGGCCTTGTGCCATATTCGGTCCTCGTGGGTGGAACGATTACCAGTGGCGTCTCGCGGTCTTTGACTGCGCACACCTTCGTCGAACTCTCTGCGTTAGCAGAGAGGATCCCGACGAGGCTTTGCCGAAGGGCAAGGTTTCGTCCGGGAGGTAGATAGGCCTGAACCCGTCTAATCGGCTTCAAAAGGCTATTTTTTTGGCCTCGGGAAAACCCCATAAAACCGGCCTTGTGCCATATTCTTTTCCGTGGGTGAGAAGATAAATACCAGTGGCGTCTCGCGGTCTTTTGACTGCGCACACCTTTCTGTCGAACTCTGCGTTAGAGAGGATCCCGGACGAGGCTTTGCCGAAGGGCAAGGTTTCGTCCGGGAGGTAGACAGGGCCTGGAACCCGTCTAATCGGCTTTAAAGCTTAATTTTTTGGCCGAGCCTACGGGCTCGGGGATACCCAATAATAAAACCGGCCTTGTGCCATACCCGTGGGTGAAATGATAAATACCAGTGGCATCCTGCGGTGTTTGACTGCGCATGCCTCCTGTCGAAGTCTCTGCGTTAGAGAGGAACCCGGACGAGGCTTTGCCGAAGGGCAAGGTTTCGTCCGGGAGGTAGACAGGGCCTGAACCCGTCTAATCGGATAATATTTTTGGCCGAGTCAGAGCAACCCACATTAAACCCGCCTTGTGCCATATTCAATCCTCGTGGGTGGATCGATAAATACTCAGTGGTGTTGAGTGAGTCAGTCGATGTCGGACATTGAAGTATCAACCATCACAACTAGATTGCTGCGTCATTTACTCTTATTTCAAGTTCCTAACGTTTTGTACGTCGAACCTAATTTAGGACGACTTATTGAAATACAAGCCTCCACTGTGAAAACTACTCTACAACAATATCTTTACCAAGGCCTTATCTAGCAATCGAGGTGATTGAAACAAAAAAAAAAGAAATTATTTTAATGGCAGTGTCCTGTTGAAACTCGCTACGAGATTTCTCGACTGTTGCCATCATTCGTTCCCGCTTTTCAAACACGTCTTACTACCGTATGACTTCTCTCCGATTTCTGTGGAAAGACAGAAGTCGGAGAGCACACATTCTGGTGTGTAGGTTGAATATTCTTTGCAC